GGGGGGAGGGGTGTGGGGGGGGCAGGGCCGGCAGAGCCTGCTCCCTGGGACGGCTGGTGAGGAGGTGCTGGGTTCCAGTGCAGGCTGGGCTTGTGAGCCCAGCGCGGGAGCTGCCCGGGGAGATGGAGAGAGAGAAGGAGACTGCCCTGAGCTCGGAGCCTAGGCAGGGGGGTCGGGAAGGCTGGGGAGGCAGACAGCTGGGAGCGGGGGGAGGGCCAGGCTCTGGCGGGAGCATCCCTGGTAGAAACTGGCACCAGCCGACCCCACCCCCGCCTCTCTTCCCCACCTGCCGCCTCTGCAGAGAGCGCTCTCTCCTTTGTAAGCCCCGGGCTTCAGATGGCACAGGGTGGACCTCCGCCCTGGCCACCCGCCTCCCTGTGTCTCAGTTCACTGCCTGGGAAGTGGGACAGGTCATCCCTGGGGCGGCCGGTGTGGGAGGGTGGTCCCAGCACCAGCCTGGGGGACGGAAAGCCTGGGCTCTAGACACAGGTTCCTGCACAAATCACGCGCTCCTTGCTCCTCCGTGTGCCGCGCTGGGGGGCCCCTTTCCAGCCGCGGGGGACTCGGTGACCAAGAAAGACAGACCCCGCCAATGTGGGGCTGATAGGCCCCTGGGGAGGCGGTGAGGACGCATTGTCAGACGGGTCACCAGCTAAGCAGAAGATGATGAACCCCGAGGGACAGCCTTGGGGCTCCCACCTCTGAACCCAGGAGCAAATTCTGTGCAGGCACCTTCTCGGGGCACTGGGTGGGTGGAGGCCTTTGGCAAACTTCTGGATTAGTCTGAGTTTGACACCCCTTCCCCATTTCCCACCAGGCCTCTGACCTCCCTGCGCCCCAGGGGGACTGGTGCTGTGCGCCCACGGCCTGGACTCTCCTATGCGTAGGGCGCTTGGTTGGCTTGGGCCGTGAGCACAGAGGAGGAGAGAGGCCCGCGTGCTGCAGAGGCGGCCTCTGACCTCACGCAGCTCCTGTGGGGCCTCCACCTGCCCCGCTCCCACCAGCTCCCGCAACCCGTCAGGGCTGGGAGGTTAGAGCTCCCGCAGTGGCCAGCCTGGGTGCACCGGCCCCTCATCGCCAGAGTCCCCGCCTGGCCCTGCCCCATGTGGGGCCCGTGAGCGGAACAGAGGCTGCTATAACAGCCCATCGGGGCCCACGTGTTCACAGCTGAGGGGGTGAGGCCCGGAGCGATGGCTCAGCTCGCTCAGGGTGCCCCGCCGTCCAGGCCCCGCCTCTCACCTGGGCAGTAGCAGCGCAGCACGCCGGGCTGGATGAGGGACGCAGGCACTGAGATCTGGTCGAACAGGCAGCTGTAGTTATTGCTGGCTTCTTGCCACGGGCCTGTGATGAGAACCTTCACTCCTCCCTGGAGGGGACAGACAGCGGGGACAGCGTCAGCTGCCGAGGGTCGAGGGATGCACCCTCTGTGGGGGAGCCCTGGTCCCTCGGGGCCCCGGTGCTCCTGGCTCCCTCAGCTGACATCCAGCACGGGCGCAGTGCTGACCCCTGACCCCTGACCCCTCCTGCTTAATTTCGGTTCCAGGCTGGAGCAGAGTTTTCTAATCTTTTCAGCCCCGGAAGCCCCTGGGAACTGGCCTGGTGGACCCCTGGAAGGAAGGGGAGACAGGGCAGGGGCCGGGTCTGTCTCGGGCTGTGGGCAGACTGGGGGAGGCTCGAGTTGAGGAGGCCTGAGCACCGCAGTGTCCTGCGGAGACTGATGCCTGGTGGGCAATGCAAAGGGACCGGGACCCCCAGGCTGGTGGGGATCGCCAAGGAGGGGCAGGTCTGGCTTTGGAGACGTCACTTTACCGCGAGGCGACCATAGTCTGGAGGGCAGTGGGGAGAGCACAGGAGCCCAGAGCAGGAGGCCGCGTGGCTGTGTTCTCAGGCCAGCGGCCCTGCCTCTCCGGTGGGATCTGATCTCCAGGGCCCTTGGCTCAGATCTAGGGTTCCACAGGGAGAGTTGGGGTTCTGGGAGGGGCGGGGCTAGGAGTGGGTGCTGGCTGGGCAGGTGCCCCATGCCCCAGGCAGAGCCGACTTTGGGATGCCTGCAGCACGAGGCCAGCTCAGGAGGCCGTCCTGCTGGTTCCTGGGAAGTGAAAGAGCAGTGGCTTCAAAAGGCCACGGTGACCATGTGAGGAAAAAGGAAGAGGAAAATAACAGCACCCACAGCTGCTGGCAGGAAGCCAGGGCCACTGCGGGGGACAACGGGCTGCAGCAATCACTGCGGAACCAGGGCCTTCTCCATGGCAACAGTGAACCGGGGCCTTCTCCATGGCAACCGCACAGGAGGGGCTCAGCATCCTTCGGTTCAAGGGATGGTTTCCATGGCAACCCTCGCCCTGCTGAGCTGAGCTGCGGTGACGCAGGCACCTGAAGGCCCTAATTGCGTCCTCCCCCGCCTGGTGCCGCAGGAGTGGGTGAAGGGAGGTGGCATAGAGGGCTTGGGGGAGGGGAGGGAGCAGCAAATGCCACTGAGGTCGCCCTGTCCTAGGAGTCCTGAGATAAAGGACCCAGATTTCTGATGCACCTGGGGCAGATTCTGGGGCCCAGGGGCACTCCTGTGTGTTTGCATGTGTGTGCGTGTGTATGCATGCGTGCATGTGTGTGGCCGCTTGCAGCTGGAGGTTAAGAGAACAGAACACAGAAGTGGGAGCTGCCTGTGGGAGCGGGGACCCTCTGAGAAGAGACAGCAAGGTGGCCCCAGCCTTGGCGTTCCTGCAAAGTGGCGCCTGACCCCATATTTACAGACTGGGGGTGTCCCAGGCCTGGGGGTCCCAGCACAGAGCCCTCTGGAGCCTGGCAGAGCCTGGCTAGAACCAGGGTCCTGACGGTCAGCAAGCAGGCCTCTGGCCGGTGGAGCAGGGGAGGGGCGAGCATGCAGGCCTGGGGGTTGTGAGGGAGGGAGGGGAGGAAAGCGGAGGTCAGTAGAGAAGGGGGTGTCTCCCCCAGGAGAACCCAGGAGGGGGGCCCCTCTGCTGCCCACTGGGGACCGTGGGAGGGTAGCGCCCCCGGGGCCTCCGCAGAGGTCTCTCCACTCAGCCACATCGGGTGGTTTCTGTGCATTTTCCAAATCACATTGAATCTGAGCTGCTTTTGTTCCCAGCAGCTGTGATCACCCAGGGCTGCTGGGAAACTAGGGCAGAGGCTCCTTCTGCGAGGTTCCTGTTCCCGTGCTGCCCTCTGGTGGCCAGCGGCTGAACTGCATGGAGCTGCAGGCTGGGACTGGGGGCAGAATGGAGAGGAGGCCAGGCCTGCTGAGGGCCCTCCCTAAGGCCCCTGGCCAAGGCCCGCGGGCCAAGGAGGCCTGAGTGCGGCCTGGACTAGCCCAGGACCTGCACGCCCAGGACCTGCACGCCCAGGCTGAGGCCCCGGGGAAGAGGGCTCCCCCTCCCGCCCTTCAGCTCCTGTAGGACTCAGGCTCCAGGGAGCCTCAGAGTGTCCTGGGGAACGTGGCGGGTGCTGGGACGGTGCCATGGAGATCAGTGCCACTGAGGGAGGCACCCCGAGCCACAGCAAGGGAAACCAGCTGGAACCTTCTAGAGCCTTGAGGGGGGCAGTGTGGGAGGTGGACAGAAGACACAGGTGCTGCCTGAACACCTTACTGAGTCCTCACACCCCACACCAAGGTGGAGACGGGAAGGCCGCTCCCGCCCCGGTCACTGATGGGAAGCGTGGGCCAGGCCTGGAATCCAGACCCCTCACCACACAGGGCGGCTGCCTGGACGCCCGAGGATGTTAACGTCCCGCACATGCAGCGCACGGGCGGGAGCTGCTCTGACTGGACGCCAGCTGTACTTCCAGGCTCCTGTCCGGAGGCGGGGCCGCCCGCTGGCTGACATGGCGCCTGGGAGCTGGGGGCACTGGCACACATGTTTTAGCTCAGCTTTGCCATCAAGGAAGGGGGCGGAGCAGGTGTGAGCCTCCTGGCCGAGTCTGTGACACGGAGGCCCACCGTCCAGGTGACCCCGCCACGGTCGTAGGTGGTCAACCAATGAGCAGCCTCTTTTCACGGCCAAGGCAGGAGGGCGTGGAGAGAGCACTGTGGCCGGGAATAATGACCACTATCCACTGAGGACGGACTACGGGCCAAAGACTCCACCGAGCACTCCTGGCACCACGCCCGAGGCAGGTGCCGTTACATCCCCATCTTACAGGTGAGGAAACCGAGTCACAGAGAGGCCATGTCTGGCAGAGCCAGACTTCACACCCAGGCATGCCCCCGAGACGTGCTCTGAACCACCGTCCCCTCACCAGAGCCTGTGGGAGACTTGGCAACGGGTGCCAGCTCTGAGGGGTGCGTTACCTCTCAGGGCACCCCTGCACCCAGTCCCAAACTGGGTGGGCATTGTCCCAGGATCCCCTGCCAGCGCCTGGGTCTGGAAGGTGCCTGTGCTGTGGCCAGCATCCCTCACTGCCCGGCCCGAGGAGGTCTGTGGCCTCGGGGAGCCCAGGAGGTTCAGGGTCTTTGAGAGCATCCCCCCCTTGTCTGGGCAGCAGCCCCCTCCCCCGCCCTGACACCCAGGGAACGTGGCAGTGGCACCAGGGGAGCCGCGAGCAGCCACCAACTGGGAGAAAGGGCCCAGCTGGGCCTCGAGCACCCGGCCGGTGGGCTGGGAGGAGTGGAGGAGTGCGCCCTGGGGTGCAGCGAGCGGAAGGCCGGGCATCTCCCCTTCCTGCCTCATTCTAGCTGGAGAGAAGGCCAAGGTCGCTTCCTGAAGCATGTGCCGCCATGGCCCACGGGTTTCCTGCAGCTCTGGGCTCGGGGGTGGAGGGCTGGGGGGCAGGGGGGGTCACGGGGCCATATAACATGCCTTTGATTTTGTCAAGGTCCGATTTAACCGACCAAGTCTTACAGAAGCCTATTCAGAAGCTGTGCCCTCCCTCTTCATTTGCTGGGAATTGGTTTTTGCTTTGCATCCTTCTGTTTAGCAATGAATGAGCAGCGGACATGGCTGATCTATGATGCTGACTTTCAAATGGTCTTTTCCAGCTCTAGGAGCCTCCCCTGCCCCCTCCCCAAAAGCAAAGCAAAATATAGGTGGAATCTTAACACGTAAGCCAGGTGACAGCGGACTGCTCTGGCCGGAGGGCCCCCTGGCCTCCGCGGAGACTCCTGGTTTAAAGCTACTGGCTGTGATGGAGACTGGGCACCGGGCTGAGGAGGGGAGGTATTTCAGGTGACCTGGGAGGGCCCGGCTGGGCCTTCGTGGTCTGGAAAGCCACATGCAAATGAGCTCCCTCAGCTCCATGCTGGGGGTGAGCAGGCGAGATGATGGGTGACAGGGAGGAGATGGCAGCTGCCACTTACCTCCGGGTAGGACCACTCCGGGGAGTAGTCGGTCACCATGAACACCCGTCCGCTCTGCTGCAGCATCCCCAGGGTGCCCTGGGCCGAGGCGGCTGAGACCACCTCGGCGACGTGCATGTAGGCCATGGTGCCGGCCCCGCCCTCGGCGCCGCTGAGCTCGTCCTCCGACTGCGAGAGCGCCGCGCCGTCCCCCGACACCAGCTGGTGCCCGTAGATGGTGCCGCTGCCCCCCTCCACGGAGATGAAGTCGTTGATCAGGTCGGAGAACTGGTTGCTGAAGGAGATGTCAAAGTGGTCCAGGCTGAGCTCCATGTTGGAGGCGTTGCCGAGGCCCGGCTGGGCCACGGGGTACAGTCCCTGCACCACGTTCCCCGGGAGGAGGGGGACGCCGCCCGTGCTGCGGATCACCCCGGGGGTCTCGGGCTGCAGGTAGTGCTCGGAGCCGCAGGCCTGCAGCTCCCCGGACTTGATCAGGCCCTCGCCCCCTTCGGCCACCTGCGAGGTCTCCATGGTGACCTCCCCTTCCGCACCCATGGCCTGGAAATTGGCCTGAAACTGCATGAGGTGGAGGGAGGAGGTGGACTCTATCCGTGTCTCCACGTGGCCGCTGCAGGAGCTGGTCTGCGAGGAGGCCTCCGTTTTCACCGTGGGCATCACGAAGGTGCCCCCGGAGTCGCTCAGGCTGCTGTGGGCGCTCTGCTCGAGGGGGAGGGGCTTGCTGGCGTCCTGCAGGAAGAAGCTGGGGGAGGGGGTCTGGTGGATGTGGGGGCTGTGGCCCGTCTGGCTGAAGCTGGACGCGTAGTCCTTGTTGGAGTCGATGGCGCTGAAGTCCATCTGCTCCAGGGTGGTGCTGGGGCTCAGGCCGCCGCCCGACGGCAGCAGGCCGGGGCCCGCGCTCAGGCTGAGGGAGCCGGCCGCCGCGGCCGACGAGGAGTACGCTTCTTTGGCCATTTGCTGCTCGAAGGAGGTGTCCTCCGTCTTGATCTCCTTGGCGAGGACGGTGGTGAAGCTGAAGGCCCTCTCCACGGGGGGCGAGTGCCGGACGCCGGCGCTGACCATCTCGGCCTTCAGGCCCCCGCCCCCGTACGTCTGGCCCTGCTTTGGGTTGTTGAGGAAACAGTCGGGGTCAAAGTTCATGGTGGTTTCTGGAATCTTCCGGCCGCCGTCCAGGGTGGTGGAGAGGACCAGCTCTTCGGAGACGTTGGAGGGCAGCATGGACAGGCTGTCCGAGCCGCCCGGGGTGGGGAAGGCGAACTTGTGGCCGTCGGAGCTCATGGCCAGGACCAGGCCCTGCGAGGCATCGGGCGAGAGGAGGTGGTGGTTGGGGCCGGCGGTGGGGGACATGGTGTACACGGCCTCGTTGGTGACCTCGGACATGAAGACCGTGGCGCTCTGGGACAGGCTGCCCATCACGGAGGCCACCGCCATGCTGGACACGCCGGTGACCACGGGGCTGTCCGCCATGTCGGGGTCGCTGTTGAGGCCGCTGCTGATGGACACGGGGGAGCTCTGGGTGGTGTCGGGCACCTCCACCTGGTTGGTGGACGAGACCTCGGTGCTGCTCTGGTGCAGCAGCACGGGCTTGGCCACCTTGCCGTTCCTCTTCTCGCGGCTCGAGCCCTTGCCGTGGCTGTGCTCCTGCTTGCCCTCCGACACGTCATTGTGCTGCACCTCCGCGTGGCCCCCGTAGCCCCCTGTCCGTGGCTCCACCTTCGGCGAGATGATGCGGTGTTTGGCACTGTTGCACTTGTGATGCACGCTGCTGCCCGCTCCTGCAGAGGGCAGAGGCACAGCACGCACACATGGATGCCACACACACGCAAACACACACGTGTGCGCACACACACGCGCACACACACGCACACAAAGAGAGAGTCAGAGCTGGGCTGCAGCAGACCTGTCTCTGAGCAGCTGGCAGCTGGCAAAGCCCCTCCCGGGAGCCCCCGAGCCCCTGGGGCTGGCGTGTAGCTGCCACTCAGGATTGGGGCCTCCTGACCCCCGGCCCCAGGCTCTCATGTGCCCTGGTCCCCACCCTCCACACCAGGCCCCTTTTCCTCCATTCACTTTGCAAGTGGTGGCAGCAGTGCCCCGACCACGGGAGGCGGGGAGGAGAGGACGGAGAGAAGGCCATCTTCCGGGGAGACCCTCCCACCCTTGGAGCAGCCGCCTTCCCTGGCCAGGCTCTCGCTGGCGGGGCTCAGCCCGGGGGTGGCCTGGTCCCTCTCTCCACCCCCTAGAAGCATCCAGGCCTACAGGCCGGGCAGCATTGCCGGTGGCCCCTCTCCTCCAGGCGGCAGGGAGCCCCCTGGGACCGGCAGCCTGAGGTGGAGGGGGACCCAAGAGCAAGGCCTGCTCTCTGGGTCACTCCCAGGCCCCAAGGCCAAAGGGGGGCCCAGACTTTGCTGTGTGGGCCACAAAGTATTCGGGGCCACCACCCTCTGTTCAGCTGGCTGGACCTGTCCTCAGCTCTTTGTGGGGCAAACTCCTTCTAAAACGCAGCAAGGACAGAGCCCCCGCCCGGCTCAGCGGCAAAGGAAGAGCCGCATGGCACCGAGCCCCAGCGGGTCAGGGCTCACGCCTGCCAGGACCCCAGGACGCTTCTCCCGCTTTTCTCGCCCACTGCACCCCTATTCCCATCCCGTCTGGTAAGGGTCAGTTTGCTTTATAAAAGGGTGAACTCTCCCCCGATCCCGTCGCAGCCTCGCCACCGCGATCCCTAAATGCAGGCAGACGTGGCGGGGAAGCGAGGTGGCCTCTAACAGGAACTTCTCCTTAGGGCCACGCAGGGGGCGGGACGCACACTTCAACGAGCAAACTGTTACCAGGAAGAGACACTGGGATGGAGAGGGCGGGGCCCTGGACGCTTGGCGGAGACGGAGGTGAAAGGCAGCCGTTTGGCCTGAGTGGCCCATTGACTCAGGACTGATCCCAGGAAGCCCAGGGACCGGGGCCCCCTGCTGACATGGCCCAAGGGCACTGGAGGCCTGGAGGGCACTGCGGTGGGTGGACAGAGGCCTGGAGCCCCATCCCCAGGCACCCCAACTCTGCTGCCCCCACTCCCAGGGGAGCTGCCTCCTTGGGAACTGCTGTCTCTGCCCCAAGTGGGCCCCCCGCCGGCTGGGGGGCAGGCAAGGGTGAGTCTGGCCTGGGGGCCGTGCTGTCGCCTGACCCCGGGCTGACCCCTCCCCTCACTGGCCATCACGGTGACCCCTGAGGAGGAGAGCCGTGCCGCTGCTTGGCAGAGCCCCTGGGCCCGTGATGCCCGCCTGCCCGCCGTGCCCACCCCGCTCACCCAAGCCGCCGGCGCACAGGCAGTTGTGGGTCCGCGGCTGCGGCTTGGTCTGGTGGCTGTCGAGGATCTGCTGCACCAGCTGCTCCACGGAGAAGCCCGAGCTGCTGTTGCCGTTGCTGCAGGTCCACTTGATGCCGTGAACTGGGGGAGACAGGGGCGGGGTCAGAGGCCCTCCCAGAGCTCAGCTCCTCCCCTCCCTGCTGGGAGGCTGGCTCTAGGGACACAGGAGGAGGCTGGAGGGAGCCCAGGCTGCCCTGCCAGCCTCCCTCCACCCCCCGGGGGGGCTCCCTGCTCTTCCCCTGCTCCCCGTCCCTCCTTCCCCTCGGATGCAGCCGGCAGTGGGCTGCCTAGGGATCTGTCTGGTTTCCCCAAGTGCAAGTGCACCGGGTGGCTCTTCACGGGGCCCTGGAGTGGGAGACAAAGGACCTCCCCGGAGTGAGGTCGTGGGGACCCAGAGGGGAGGTCAGGCGGGGTCGCAGCAACGTGCTGGGGAGGACCTGCCCCAGGGCCGTGCTTTCTTCCCACCTGACTTCTCCGCCATGAGGGGCTGAGGGGACAGGACCGCAGGGCCCACGTGACCTGGGCAGTGGGTGCCCACAGGTGACTGGCCACCTTGAGTGGCACCCGCAGGGCCGAGGGCTGTCTCCCCACCTTCTGGCAGGATGGGCCGGGACCCGAAAATAAACCAACTCGCCCGCTGAGT